TTGTTAAATTTATTTAAATATATATTTAATTATTCAACTTTAAATTAATGGATAAAATATGCATATATTAAAAATTAAGAAATTAAAAATGTACAAATTCAAATGGATTTAATAGATTAACTAGTAAAAAAATTTTAAAAATATATTTTTCATAGTTAAGGAACTCTAAAATATATTTTTTATAATTAAAAGATTAAAAAATATATAAAAATTTTAAAAATAAAAATTATATAAAACATTAAAATAGGTGGATGGAAATTTTTATTTAACCAATTTTAAAAGTTGCTCCTATTGCATAACTCATTATCATAAGATATATCGAAAAGAGTTAGCACTAACTGCAATTGCCTAAGACACTCGCTCTTCACCACTCACGTTCTCATTGTGCCACCTCATCTTAACTTTTAAGGTGGACACCGGAAACCGGTCCTCCTGCCACTTAGCTAAGAGACAAAAAGGTTAAATCCCCGGTTCAGTCCCTAAACTTTCATTTTTGAACTAAATTTACTCTCAAATTTCAAAAAGTACTAAAAAATCCCTAAACTTCAATTTTTGGGACCAATTTTGTTCTTCCGTCAACGGAAGTGCCAAATAGCACATTAAGTTGCCATAAAATCAATTCTTATTTTAATTCTTTAATGACATGGAAAATAATTTAACCCAACTTGTCATTTTTGTTATCCATGTCATTTTAATTAATTTATAAAATAAAAAATTTTAAAATTCCTTAAATACCCCCATCTTCATCTTCCAACCCCTCTTTTTCTCCTTTCTCGTCTCTCTCTATCCTCTGATGCCTCTCTATCCTCTGATGCCTCTTCATCTTGCAACCCACCCAGCACCGATCATCCCTTATCACACCAATCAACACATGATCACCAAAAGGAAAATGGAATTCGAATCACTAAACCTCTCCTTCTTTACCAAACCTCTCCTTTTTCCCCAAACCTCCTCCCTATGGAACCCAAATATGGTTCCTCGCACAATAATAATAGCCAATAAATCTTATTCAAAAAATCAATTACATTGCAAACTTATACCAAATATGTAAAGATTTAAAAAACCAATCATACTGCAAACTTATATCAAATTTATAAGAAAAGGAAAATGCAAAAAACACAACATCCTTTCAATCAGCACCAACAGTAACTAGATCTTGAAATTCAAGCAAGTAGAAGCCACACAAGAAACAGAAGAACAAAGAAACAGAAGAAAAAAAGAAAAAGAAGAAAATGAGAAGGGGAAAAGAACTCACGCCTGGGTTCAATTTGGAACCCAGGCATGCTAGGTTCCTTCGAACCCAATAAGCAGGGGAGGAGAAAGGGAAAGCGAAGGGGAAAAGAAAAAAAGAAATAAATTTTTTATTTAATAATTATTTATTAAATTATATTTATATAACTTACTTTAAAATTTACCACATCACAGCACTTTTATAATTAAAAAATGTTATATCACTTACTTTATTTCCACGTAATACTCAATATTAATAAAAATTGAATTTCTTAATAAAGAATTTTGCCACCTCAACACTTAATTGACGGAAGGACGAAATTAGTCCCAAAAATTAAAGTTCAAGGATTTTTTTAGTACTTTTTGAAGTTCGAGGGTAAATTTAGTTCAAAAATAAAAGCTCTGGGATTGAACTGAGGATTTAATCGAGACAAAAATTAAAAAGTTTAAGTCAAGTTGGAGAAGAAAACAAGTATTTAGGGATGTCAATGGGCCCGCAAGATCGTGGAGTCCCTTTTCATCCTCGTGGGGATTTTTGAGAGGGACAGATTTTCGTTTTCTTCCTCGTTTTTCCTCCAATGAGGATTTTCATTTCTCTCTAATTATTATTAAAATATACTTTTTTTATATCAAACATAAATAAAAATCAATTCAACATAAATAATTAAATCAACAAATTTATTCCAAATATAAATAAATCTTAATCCAACATAAATAACTAAAGCAACATACTTGTTCTAAACATAAGCAAAAATCAATCTAACATAAATAAAATAACTAAGCCAACATCCAGCATGAAAGGAGGCAGCCAACTAAACTAACATCTAAATTGTTTGAATCTATAGCCAGTAACAGTAGGTGAAGTGGTCCGGCACTGGCAATAGAGACAGAGTTCAATAACAGTCAACAGAGATAGAGTCCAGCAGTCCAACAAATTGAATGGCATATGGCTTTGATAGATGGATTCGGCAGCAGCAAACCAGCAGTGTGTAATAGTCCACTCCAACAGTAGTGTGGCTTCGATAGCAACTCTAGTCAGCAGAGACAAAGTCCAGCAGTCCAACAAATTGAATGGCAAATGGCTTCAATAGATGGATTTGGCAGTAGCAGACCAGTAGTGTGTAGTAGTCCACTCCAGCAACAGTGTGGCTTCGATAGCAACTCCAGCAGTAGATCAGTAGCAGTAGAAGCCAGAAGGGGAGGGGAAAGTCGAAGGTGAGACTATGAGAGTGAGTGAGGAGAAATTGCAAAAGCAAGAAAGGAAGGGGAAGGTTGAAGGTGAGGTGAGAGTTTGATTGTTCGAGAGTGAGTGAAGCGCCACGCGAGTGAGGGGAAAGAGAAATGAATAAGGTTAGGAACTTAGGATTAAAAGGAGGATGATGGGTTGGGTTGGGTAAAGTTTAATTTTTATTGAATTGGGTTTGGGTTTGGGTTTGGATTTGGATTTGATTTTAAAAGTTGAATTAAATTTAAAATTGAATTAATTTTTTTTTTAATTTTTCGCAAGGATGGAGATCCCTACGGGGTTTCGCATGATGGGGAAAATTTCTCATGAAATTTCACAAGGGAAAATTGCCCCCCATCCCCACCCCACGAGGACGAATATTCCTCTTAGTCTTATCCCCACGGCGAGATCACATAGGGCCCGGGGCAATCGGAGCAAATTTCCACCTCTACACATACAGAACATGGAAGGGGAAAACTCCGCTTCTTTTATTTTTCCTTTGCTTGTCGCCATGCTCTCCTTTCATGGCTTCACCTCACACCATCCCCTTCAAATCTCCCCTTTTTGAGAGTTGTGATTCTTTAATTCCAACTTTATTCCCAAAATTTCTCCAATTCTCATAGCTTTGAGCCTCCATTTTCCACTGTTGCTCTGCTTCTTCATGTTGCCTCTATCAAGCTCACTCATGTTTTCCTCTCTCTAAGATTTTTTATCCTCGAACCAGATTTTCTTTTTCAGGCTTTAATTAAAAGTAAAGTGATTTTTCGGAGATTGGTTCAGGATTTTTGTCATAAAGAAAACGGAAAAAAGGGGTAACTGTTAATCAATAATCTCCTTTAATCTAATATAGTACTTCTTACTGCATGAAACTCGCTTTTATCAAAATTTATAAATAGACTTATCAAAAATACTCAAAGTTTCATGTTGACAGCGATGACCTTTCAAAAATTAAAAGTTAAGCACAGAACTCAAAAGATTCCTCTTTTTCGAGTTTTTTTTTTTTTTTTTTTTGTCAATTTGACTTTTTTTACCATGACCTATTCAAAAATTAAAGAAAGATAGTTTAGAAGAGTTCAAAATCACCTACCAAAATAAAATTATTAACTTAAAACCTTCTGTTTCTTCTACCTTTTACTCCTTCTAGGAAAGTATTGAATATAAAAGAATAATTTCATTTATAATCAATTAATTTTAAATTAAATATAAATTTTTGTTAAAATTTACATATATAATATTTATGTAGTATAAGAGTTTAACTTTTATTATGAAAAATCGGTTATTAACTCATGTAATAGAACACAAAATTAATACTAAATTTACATATAAAAAGATGTATTAAATCACAGCTTATCATGTTAAGCCAAAAAAATTCAACATCGCGTTTGTAAGAGAAAATTTTTCTAGGTTCTGTGTCATATTTTGTCATTTAGCAAGTGACTTGTTGAGGCTTGTTTCCGGTATATCTTTCAAAAGCAGAAGTGAGGTGGCAAAATAAGAGGGCGGGTGTCAAACAGCGAGAGTTAAAGCAACTGCAGCTAGCTCTGCTCCTTTTGCTAACATGCCCTACTTCTTCTTTCTTTCTTCCTTTTTTTTTTTCTTTTTTTTTTTTTGAACATGACTTCTTCTTTCTTTCTTTTTATTTTCTGTTCCCCCCCAATTTTATTGTTTCCTTATAACTTAATTTATTCTTAGAATTATTTACTTTTATCAAACAACACATAATATAAGGACTGAACAAAATCATATATAATTACAAAAAATATGACTTTTATAGGGTCAAATCATGTAATGGAATCCAATTCATATTAATTGTTAAATCCCCCCATCACTGTGCTGTTAGCAAAGGCTTATGATCTGACCAATTCAACTACAAGGCCTTTCCTTAACCTTACCCTGTTCCTGACCAAGAAAATTAAGGTTCTTTATTCAATCTCTTTTTACATTATTATTATTATTATTATTATTATTATTATTGATGTTGTCATTGTTATGTATAACTTTTGATTCGGCGGGCTTTTAGACAAAGAACAAAGAACCTAGGTACTCCGTGCAATCACAAAATGATGATCAAAATTGGGTACTTCTTAACCTCATCTTATAGGCTGTTTGATTGAAAGTACAATTTTTCAATCCATGAGTTAGGTTAAATTCCTTCCTCATTTCCTACCAAATTTAAAAGGTACAGTTTTTTGAATAGCTTGTTTTAATTCAGTAACATAAACTTTGAATTAAGATCATTCATTTTTTGTGTAACATGTTTCAGCTCCGTAAATCTACTTTTTCTTTCTTTCAATTAATACATGTAAATAATTTTAATTTGTTCAAAAAATAAAAGTGCAGCTTTTCAATCTCATAAGTTAGGTTCAATATTTTTCTCATTCTCTCAAAAATTGCATTTGTTCAAAAATAAATAAATGGTACTTCTTAGAAGATGACAAATCAACCATCAATATAACCTGGTACAGTATGAAAGAAAAAATGAGATATGTAGGCTGGACTGCAACACAGAGTTACATTGCCATCAGCCCCTCGAGTCGACCCATCCATTACCAATTATCATCAAGCAACAAGAATATAACAGTACTGTATGGACCCAGAACAGACCAAAATGGGGGGCCCATCAACTTCATTTTCTTCTTCCATTCCATCTTATGGTTATGGGACCATCTTCTCCACCATCAACACCTGTTTCAATACCCTCCCTACACACTAACACTTCTAACAATTGTACTTCTCAAAAAAAAAAAAAATTACTAGAAAATTTAAGTTCCCTCTTCATATTTAGATTAATTTACATACGTATACACAAACAAACATAAATAGTAATCTTCTTGATCATTCAGTGCTTAGGTCACAGCCATATGTACAAAAAAATAAATAAATAAATAAATAAACAAATAAAATGGAAGAAGTAACAATAATACTTAAAGAGGACAGAAAGGACGTTGATGCCATCTTCTCAACGATTGCTATTGGAAAAACCATAAATATCCTGTTCTGTACACAGTGGTATTACCAAGTAGTATTATGTCCAACACCAGTATATAACACCACGCCCGCATGAAATTTTACCACCTAACTTTTAATCTAATCTTATTCCATACTACATACTGCATAACTACTAGTGCACGTGATTGTCACTTCCCATACGCAACACGATCTGAGAAGAAAACAATTCCCACCTTGTACGTTTTAGAATAAGCGTCCCTCTTTAACAGTTGATTCCACACTGTTCCACGTCTGGACCAGTCACTCGAGTGGTAAAGGGATCAACCCTCACCCACAACAGAGAGAAAATGGAGGCAAGCAGAATCGACCACACCACAACAATGGTGGGTGTCCGGTTTTGGCGTCCCATCAAACCTCTGAGGAAGGGGTACAGGTGGATGATCACCCAGAAGGCAAAGAAGAGCTTCCCAAACAGAGGACCCCATGATTGATAACCGCTGTTTATGGCATAAGAGATTCCAGCAACAACACCTACCAGGTTTATGATTAGGAGAGTAGTTGGTGGGATGAGAAGGGTCGTCCATTTGAGCATGTACAGTTCTGCAAAATCCCCTTCCTCATCTGATGCCTTCGACGTCACAGTAAAGTTGGTGTCAATGCCAGCAAGTACTTTGAGAAGACCTTGGAAGACAGCAAAAAGATGGGAGGAGACACCACCGATCACCCAAAATTGTTCATTTCTCCACCATTCGTCAATTCCAACACCACTCCACCTCATCTCTAAGATACCAGTAGCGAAGATGGAAAGAAAGAGGGATATAAACCATATACTTGCTATGTTACTGATCTGCAAATCAGAGCAATCCAAACAAAACAAATTTAACACATTGTTTGTTTAACACATTTTGTGTGTGTGCGTGTGTAACTCTAATCTATGTATATAACTATATATTAATTAGGAATATATGGTAACAGCAAACCTGGGGAATAATGAACTTGTTGGTAAGAAGACAGACAGCTGGCAGTGTACAGTACATGAGAAGAGGAATGGAAGTGACAGGATAGATGGTTGTGTTCACATATGCAAACCTCTCCAGCCATTTCAGCCTACCACCATAACCATACCAGATTGGGCAGTGACGACTGAAAAGAATTTCCACAGAACCAAGGGCCCAACGAAGAACTTGGTTTAGACGATCTGAGAGATTGATAGGAGCAGACCCTTTGAATGCTGGAGGATTTGGCATGCAGTAAATTGACCGCCAGCCACGGGCATGCATTTTGAATCCTGTAAGAATATCTTCCGTAACGGAACCATAGATCCAACCAATCTGCACACAAAAGGGAATTTTTGATGTAAAGGCAACAGACAAATTACTGCAAAAGACTGGCGAATAACTACCCGTCAAATTTTACAGCCACATGTTTGTGTGTGTGAGAGAGAGTTACCTCACTTCCCCAGTCTGTTTTGTCTTCATACCCACAGCTGATAACATGAATAGCTTCCTTAAGAAGTGTTTCAGGTGTGGCAGATTGTGGAACACCACCATTCTCCATAAGTGTGGACGCAACAAAAACAGCAGACTGACCAAACCGCTCCTCCAGGCTCCTTTGTGACACGTGTAGTGACTTTTCATCATCAAAACCAGCACCTAATTTGAAATTGCACAGGGGACACAGTGGTCACTACATAGTCAAGCCAAAAGGCATTCAACTGCCATATCAACCAGCAAAACTAGAAGACAATGCCATAAATAGTTTACCTTCAACGCCCTCTTCTATATCATCCAGACTGAATGTTGGCACAGTTGGGTCAATGTGCTTCCCAGCTTTCTTCTTGTGCAAGCCCTTTTTACTAGATTTTGAACTTTTCTTTTGTGAACCTCCACAAAGTGAAGATAGCAGCCCAGGTTTCCTATGCTTGGGTTTGAGTGGAGGTTCATAACCATACAGTGCTGTTCTGTTAAAGACACATCCCGTACCAACATAAACAGGTCCTTGAATACCATCAAGACCTCTCAAGTTTATCTGAAATCCAAAAGTTCAGAAATTTAAAAAATGTTATAAGCAGAGGTTGATAGGACAGGATTTTCATCCAAATAACTTGAATGCCCAGGTATCCAACCCACAGACATGCTTGGAAAATGATTTAGAAATGTCATCTATGGACGAAGTAATTCACTTTGCAATAAGATAAGAAGCTTACATCAAAGAACACAGTATTGCGGTTAGCATATCTATCATTCTTATCAATTCCATCAAATCTTTGTGGAAATTGCACATAACACACGTGTTTCCCAAGGTTTGGGTCCATCAGAAAACACATTGCTTCCCTTAAGGCTTTGCTATTATTTATGTAGTGATCACAATCAAGATTCAACAAGAAAGGTCCATTAGTAAGGACTGCTGACACCCGGACCTGCAAGATGTTGGACTAATACAAGTAAGAAACAATTAAGTCTGGAGAGAACTATCCCCAATCTTTCTGAGAAGTTACTTACAAGTGCATTCATGGCACCAGCTTTCTTGTGGTGCTGGAAGCCAGGCCGCTTTTCACGAGAAACATAAACTAATCTTGGGAGCTCATTACCCTCAGCATCAAGCCCTCCATTTTGACCTAAGAAAACCTACAAAATTGCATTAAATCTCAGTGGCTAAGTGATGGGATCTGATGATGATAATGGGAGAAAAAACAAAGTGATTTAATAATCACATTCACCAGCAACATATCTGTCAATTTATGTTTGTCTTACCTGGATCATTCCTGGATGATCTCTTGTGTTGTTACCAGGCCATGGCGTACCATCCTGCATGATCCATCCTTCTTCAGGAATTTTTTGGGCCTTTGCAACAAGCCCATTAATTCGAACTTTAAATTCTTCGTATTCTCGCTGCGATGGAGAGGAAAAGATGACATGAAAATCAGAAAAATGGAAAGATAAAATTAAGCAGTATCAACGTCAACTACCTTCATAGCTCTACGGTCTTTGACAAATGATGTTTGAACTTTATCCTTCAAGTAGTCAATCTTTTGTGCAAAATACCACTCAGGAGCCCGAGGTTCAATGTTATATTTCTTGCAGAAAGGTACCCATTTCCTGGCAAAGTCTGATGTTTCAGACAGTGCTTCAAATGTTAACATTGCAGCACCATCATCAGAGACATAGCATGAGACCTTGTCAACTGGGTAGTCAACTGCAAGGATGGACAGCACAGTATTGGCTGTCACAAGAGGAGGCTCCTTTAACGGGTCAACAGTACTCACAAAAATATCAACAGCAGCTAATTGTGAAGGTCCTCCTTCATGATCATATCTGTTAGTCACAAGGGAATTGCAAACACAAGAGAACATGGTTGTATAATGGCACAACTTGATACATGTGAGCAAGAATGTAATAACTCAGAATGACATCTGTAGATGGATAAGGAGAATATATCCTACCTCAGAGCAAGCCTGTCAAGATATGTTTCACGGTTCACAGGAAGCCACTTAGGGAATTGATCCAGTATCCAAGATATTGCAAACCATATCTCACATATCACAGATACCAACCAAAGAGCATAGGCATTAGGAACAGGATTTGTTATCCGGTAGTGCAAGAAAAAGCACAGAATGACCAACCGCAGAATAATGACCAACCTATAAGGGTTTATCTTGGATGATGGAATGGAGACCTTCCTAGATAAAGGCTGCCTAGCTTCGTCATTCCTGCAAATTTCAAAACATGGGAATAAGCATGGGTTAGCATTTACCAGACTGGAAGTAGGAACAAGTAACAAAACAAAAAGATAAAAACTGAACCCTAGGAAGGCTGATGAGATAGATGGCTTATAGTTGACATGTGACTTTGATGATGGGTGCAATGACCAGGTTTTCCAATTCTGGAAAAGAATCTAATTGCCAACCATGTTCTAACCTGGTGATAAGGACTCTAGTGGTGTGGCATCAAGTCCTGGGTTCTATTCTAGGCAATGACTTTCACCTCTTCCCATTATAGTTAATGCTAAAAATTCACAGACCCAGAAAAGTTTCCACACACAGGGCACAAGAAGAATTCTAGTAATTACAATATTTTTGGAGCTAACTCTGTACAACTAACAAAAACAAAACACCATAATAAAGAATCTAGAGACTGATTAGATGGGAACTCACAGTAACGAATCATCTACAAGCACATCAGTGCTGGCATCAATATCTCCGGCACCCCTTTCTGAAGGAGCCTGGCCAGTGCTCATAGGCATAACATTCTTCTCCTGCTTCATTTTCCAGCCATCAACTCTCTCCTTCCAGGCTACATTGCCTAACCCTGGGGAACCAAACTCTCTTACTGGATCCACACCCCTAAAATTAGCTGAAGAGAAATTCCAGCATTTAAATTAATAATACATGGTAGGAATACACAAAAACTCAATGTTACATCACAAAAAGAAGGATACACACGCTTTCCACCAACTCTGGGAGATGCCATAGAAAGGTGATCAGGTGATGCAGCAGACAACTCCCCCGAGACCTAGAAACAAGGGGGAAAAAATTCATTTCAATTTATTATTCCATGCAGGGGAGGATTACAAAGCAAGTTGAATCATGAAGTTACCAATTCTTCTAGTTATTCTTATTTCATTTCAGATTTGATATTTTTCATAAGAATTTTAGGAGTCTATTAGGGTTTTAGAATGTCTATGAATTCTATTATGCAATAAGCTTTGAATCTTTTGATGAATTGAATAAAGATTTCCCTGAATCCCTGCTATTGTTTTCTGTCTGCTTTTCTGCCCCAAATTTTTCTAGGTTTTTTTTTTTTTCTTTGGCGTTCCCCACATGCTTCTAGTTATTCAATCCTCTTTTCTACTAAATTCCTCTGTCTTCCCATCCCCTTCTATCTATTTGTTTATCTCCCCACATTCTTCTATTTCTCCTGTCCTATATATGTCAGTAGTTTATTGACCTACCTCCTGTGCACTGGCAAGCAGCGGAATATGGTTATGTGAAACCTCTTTATCATAACTTGAAGCCCCAACATCTTCCCCCCTATCATGTGCCATTTGCCAGCTCAACATTCTTTCTGCAACTTTCTGCTTCTGATTTTGATTTTCAGAAGGGTAATTAAAATTGCTGGCAACATCATCAGCATCACCATTTTCTTCTGTGTCTCCAAGGATAGCAGGGCTACCTGGAAAGAAACAGTGAAACAATTTTTATTTTATATAATGACAACCAATGCCACTAGTTTTTGCAATTTTTGTAAAATGATTTGAGAAAGTATCATGCCAAAAATCTACAGAAATGCATTTTATCTATTTTACAATTTGTGACACAGGTTGAATTGAAAAACCTTTGTGCCTCTTGTATCTAGTTTTGCATTGTGGGCATGACTGGTTCCCATGTTTCCTCTCATATTCATAGCATGGCCTGCAGACAGGAAAAGCACAGACATGGCAAGCCACAAATGGTTCACCATCGACAGCTTCGCCCACGTTATCACTGCAGATTTGACATACCTGACCACTGACACTCTTGATCGCCTTTGCCTAAGTATAATCAAAAGGAAAGACAACAATATCTTTCAGAATTCAGCATCCAGTAACAATAAGATATCATCATAACCTTACCTAAACAATGGGGGCAAACATTATTTAAGTTGAAGACAGTACTTTATGATTTCATAAACATTTGTTGAAACCAACAAATACAACCAAACTCCAAAACTTGTTTATCATGGTATTTTGTGGTGGGTGTAGGAAAAGAGATTAACAAAACCATCACTGAAACTGAGAATTGTTTAATTTTCAAACAGCAAAACCCCAAAGTGCTTTGGATAGATAAATACATACCCCAATCTCTGCCTCTGATTCCATTGTTACCGAATTCTTTTTTGATCAAATGTGAGACACTGGTAGGTATCAACACAATCTATGCATGCCTGCATTTAAAAGAGACAAGACAATTGAGTGGTCAAACGTTGTAAATTAGCAGGAAAAACAAAGCAGTGGATGTCGATAAACAACAGATCCGAAAGGAGAAAGGTGATTTACAGACCTTCAAGTGTACGGATGGACACCACACAACGCAAATGCAGAGAGTAATTAAACTTTGTCTCTCTCTCTCTCTATTTTCTCCACTAGAAAAACAGAAAGAAAGAAATAGTCTACATAGATAGAATCGAAAATCAAACCAACATTCGCATAGGTATAATAAGATGTTAGAATAGAAAATTGGTTTTAAGGACAGAGCAACGCGGAACTCCCCGACAGTGCGGCTGCCCTGCTGCTTTCTGGTTTTCTGCTTGCTTGGAGTGAAAATTTTTTGTTTGTTTGTTTGTTTGTACTTTTGTTTTTCGGTGTTTGTTGGACTTTGAATAAGCCCATTCCGATATTTGCACAGTAAAGAATTAGTCCAACGACACATAATTAATAATAATGGAAACAATTTTTGTATAATTTTTTTATTTTTTTTTTATAATTTTATGTATCATTAAAATAATTAATTTTTTAATTTATATAAAACTTATAATATTGAATATAATTTTATGTATCATTAAAATAATTAATTTTTTAATTTATATAAAACTTATAATACTGAATACAATTATATAAAAAAATAAAATAACTATCTCTATTTCATGCCCTTGCTCTTGTAAAATCAGGATTTTAAAATTTTTAAATTAAATAAAAATAATAAAGTAATTATCTTGATTCTCTTTCTCTTTCTCAAGATAATTTAGTTATTTTTTATATTTTATATAAATAAAAACATAATTTTTCAAAATTTTATTACTCGGAATTAAAGACACTTTTTATGTCTTTTTTTTTATTTCTTACTCATTTTTATTATTTTTTAAAAGCTTATTTATAAGTAATGATATAATTTTTTTTAATTTTATTTAAACAAAATTATGTGAAATTTGATAGACATATGAGTTTACATATCTACTTTATTGGGTTAAAGCCTAATCTTCATCCCTTTACTATTCAAATTTGTTCGTTTCTATTCTCTTAATAAGGAATTGATTTAGACAGTCATTCCACGAGAAAATTGCAAATAATAATATGAATTTTTTTATTTTTTATTTTTTATCTAAGAATATTAAGTTTGTGATTTTGCACTTAGCCTAATGACTCGATGACTTTAAACTTTCTTGAAAAGTGCATTACCCAGCTCTTAGGTTGGGTTCGAACCCTCACCCTCACATTATACACCATTCAAAAAAAAAATATATTAAGTTTATAATTTTTTATTGAAAAACTAATTAAATAGTGATATTGACATAATAAATTTTTTTAACTATTCAATTAATCTTTATTTATTAACAAACTTACCATTAACCATTCTTTTAAAAAAAAATGGCGATTGTAAATAATGATGCCAACAAAATTAAACTTGGTTAAATGAGTACTTGTTTTTTTGAGAGTTTTGGAGGAGTGCAAACTTACCATGCATTAACAAATTTCCCAAAAATATCAAGTGGATACCAATAAAAGTTTGGTCAAATTCCATGAGAATGTGATTTT